AGGCTGGAGGAGAAAGAGACTGGGAAGTGTGTATCTGCTTTGAGGGGAGCAGTGAGGAAGTTGGGCCCTGTCTGGAACCCCCTCCTCATAGCACATAAGTCAAAGACTATGACTGCGTTAGCTGAAGCCCTCAGATGTGTGGGTACCTAAGTGCCACCATGGCAAAATTCATGTTCTGCAGACAGAAGGAAACAATTTCATCACGGGTTTGTTTAGGCCCAGCCTTGCCTTGTAGCCTTTGCAAAGAAGGGGCCCACTGCGTGGGGAGCCTTGCGTGCAGCTAGGGTCCAGCATGCCAGAAGGATGCCTGCCTTGCACAGCGGTTACCTTTGCGTGGCTAGGTTGGTTTACCAACACTGTAAAGTCTGGAGGTTGTTACAGCTCTCAGGCTCCAAAAAGTCAGTGAAGAACCGAGAGCGTGTCTTAGCTTCTCCATTCTGGAAAACCCACCACAGAATTCTGCCCTAATCTTGCAAGAAACCCAAAGTTAATACCTACTGCCTAGTCAGCAGCCTTGGGTGCCCACCCAGGAGTCCTGCTTCCATAAGCTACTGGAGTGCTTGGGGCTTAACCGAACCGTGTTTGTTTATTGTTTCTGTCTCTGTGGATGGGCTGATTCTGCCCCTGGTGAGCAGGGCAGCAGCCATGCTGTGTGCTCTGCAGCCTGCTGTACCCCAGAACTCTGTAAGCTGGGAGCCAGTGAATCTCCGGACTCCTCGTGGCTGCCTACAGCTTACCCTGAATCTTTCGTTAGTGTCCCTTTCCCGAGCCGCTCTTCTAAAGAGCCCTGCCTGGGCTGTTTCACCACAACCCCACAGAAGACAGAGCTGAATAAATGAAACCAGGAATTTGGCTTTTATGCAGCATCCAGACCATGCAGCTTATGCCAGGAAGGAGACTCATGCCCTTCAAAGCTTTCCTACTTTCATGCTAGATGAATTTTAAAGCAGGTCAGTTTTTCAAAAGTATAGTCTTAAAACCCACCAGCAACACAGATTTTTTAAAAAATTGTCAATAGCAACCACAGCTATCTATAACTTTGTTAAGTGTCTCAGTGCACACCCGAGAGAGTCAGAGTGTACGTGAGGCAGACACTGCCCAGAGGATGGTCAGATTCCTCCAGTCTTAAGTGAACTAAGCAGAGGCTGAATCATTTTTTTTGTTACCTAGAATATGAAAGGGTTAAATGCTCTGCCCAGGGAACCAGACAGTCTCTCCTACAGAGATCTCAAGTACTCCAGGAGGGACTGAGGACAGTTCTTTTAAGAGAAAGAGCAAAAGAAAACCAGGCTAAACCAGGCTATGGAATTCCAATCACTAGCCAATGAAGTCACAGGGTCCCCCATTATTCTGGGGGAAGTTTTAGTATCTACATTATGTTTGGGTCACTAAATTTGCATAGTCATAACATGCTAATTACCTTTCAATCTTTCTGGAAAACCTTCCCGGCCTTAGCCAAATCCCTCTGGACCCCGTATTCAATTTTGCCCCACAGTACCAATAATTTCACTTAAGGTGAATGATTGGGATATTTTTTGGCTAGAGGCAAGTTAGTCTTTGTGGAGCAGCTTTGGGCACCATCTCTCTATAATAAATCCGTTCAGATTTAGGAGCTAGGCGGGGAAGTTTTGGAGGGACAATGCTTGGAAAGAGAAGCATCTGAGGGCCCCTCCTGCCACCCCCTAAATACTTACTTGGATTCACAGTTAAGAGAGTTCCTTTCCCAAATGTCAGTTTGTAGTTGCTGCCTCCAGTATTCCCACAGCCTGAGGAGGCTTTACAAAAACAGGAACCCGGCTGCTCTTGCAGAAGGGCCCTGGCTGCTCTCATCCCCACACAGGCTTTGCCAAGACCTGGGCTTCTAGAGGCCATTGGAGGGTTGTGATATATAAACCCGAAATATATACATCTTTAAGTCTTAAATACGATATTTTTTTATTACTCTTTTTATGACTAAGCTGCCACCTTCATTTTGGCAAGCCCTTTCTTTCTCTTCCTTCCTAATTGTTTTCTCCTGCTCAGTGCTCATGTAGTTTCTAGTTTATTGCACTTTTGGGGGCCGCGATTTCTCTGCTGTTTATTGAATTACTGACAATCAATTCACAGGTTTCTGGTCCATGGGAAATGGATGTCAGAAGAGAAAGAGGCCAGGGGCACAGGTATTATGTGAGGCTGAGGACCTGCCCATCGTTCCTGGAGGAGTGGGCGAACCATGTGTGTCTCTCCAGCAGAGTTTGGAGGACACAGCCCAGAACGATGGCTATGGAGGCCTATGAGCAGCTTCTGCCTCTGTATTCACTTGGGTCAGCCTGTCCCTTGCCCACATGTGAGCTTCTAGAAGCCTCCGTAGGTGTTGTGCCCCATCACACAGCTTTACAAAGCTTGTACGTATACTGCACAGCCAAGCCTCTCTCCTCTCTCTTGAAGAAGCCTGGTCAGGTTCCTAGCAGCTGTGGAGAATGGCCTGAGCCCTGCAGACAGGAGGGCTGTGGCTGCACCACCCTGCTGTGCTCATCTTGTCCTTCACAAAGGCTGTTGTAGACACATTCTGGAAACTTCATTGCCTCTGTCAGACATTTAACATCTTTATCTTTCTCCCCTTCACAGATTTTAACTTCTTTTCCTCTCACCCTTCATGAAGCCTTTGCAGAGCTTTCCCTAACACAGCTGGATTAAAAGAGTCTTCACACTTAAAAGTCTCCCGAGTGAAGTTAAGCTGGCTTCCCACTTAAAGTTTCTGAACTGACTCTGGGGCCTCCTCTTCGGGGACTCAACACACTGCTCTCAGACAGGAAAGGCTAAAAGGCACATGGAGGAGCCAGGCAGGAGCCTGTTCCCAGAAACCCTCTGGCCCCTCTGTGCTTGGGTGGATTTATTTCTGAACACCTCCACCCTCCCCCACAACCCGAAGCTAGGTCCTTGTCACTAACAGGGAGCTATCCTCAAAAATGAAGCCCAGAGGACCCTTCCCACACGCCCTCTAGTCTTGAAATGAGACACGGCACCCTTCTCCACTCAGTTTCTAGTTGTGCATCATGAGAGGATTAGGAGAAGATGTTTGCCTCCACCCTCCTCCTGTCCCCCTTCAACAGTTTCAAACTATTTATAGAAACACCCCTTTAGGTTAGAGAAATGTGCTAAGTCTCTAATCGCTTCATCTTTTTTCTTGCTATCTATTTACTGCAGTCATATATTTACAATCTAAATTTCCATTTCATTTCCATTTCAGGAGCTCCCTAATGCACTTTTCTATTACTTCCGGAACACTGTGCAGAATGACAAACTACCTAAACAAAACAAAACAAATCACAAGGACTTTTTAGGGCTAGAGACTGACATTTCTGTCTGCTCAAGACAGGTCTGGGATGAACATATTATTATGACTGTTCCAGGCAAGACCAAATAGGAAGTCCAGGTAACTGGACACTGAGGCTCTCGGGGCTGACAGGCTATGTCTAAGGAGCTGTCTTTTGAGCATCACTTCTTGGGATTACTTTGGATTTCCTCTTTAATCTACTTCTCAAATGTCAGCTTCCTATCTTTTTTAGAATCCCTCTGGCAGGGAAAGCTTAAGGTAGATTTCAGGGATGTGTTTTGAACCTCAACTGATATTTCATCTTCACACACATCACAAATAGAGGAACCGAAAGAAAGAAGACTATAACACTATTGGGAAAGAATTTAAAACAGTTCCTCGGGAAGTATGAGAATTATAAATAAAATAGAGTTGTGTATATTCTTTACTGATTATAGTTCTAGTATTTGGAGAACTCTAAACAGCCAGTCCAGTCTGGAAATGTAGCATATGACCTGCCTGCTCCTCGGGCCCCTGCAAACCAGTAGACACGAAGGCCAGCATCTAAATGGCTTTCTACTTGATGACATTTTAGGCACGAAGGACTTAAGGAAGGTCAAATAGAGGCAGCACAATGGTTATGAGGACATTCTGATTCTAGCCTTTCTAATGTGGACAATAATTCAGCCATGCAAGTGGATTTACTTTAAGATGCCCAGCTGGGTAGCTGGTATTTTGGAACTGTGAGGCAATGTTAACCCCTAAATAATTGTTTGTTGTTTGGAATGAGCTTCCATTGGTGTAGAAAATAGAAATCGTCTCACAAAGCAAAATTTCAGCAAGACTGAAGTTAATTGAAATTGGGTTTGTTTTGAGAATGGTGTGGCAGCATTCAAAGCTTCCTTCTGGCCTTGTGGGGTGAAGAGAAGGGCTGTTAATATGCCTGGCCTAAGAGTCCCCTTTTAAGCCCAGTGGCCAGCTTGTCAGCAAGAGTACAGAAGTGAGAGAGTACCAAAAGGGTCTCCCCTGATGCACAGAACTCAGCCCAGGCAGGGATGCAGGCATTCCGGAGGACCTGGTTAGAACACAGCAGTGAGCAGCATCCCGGGGCATGGTTTCAGAAGCTCATGGTCATTCTAACTCATTTGAAATCTGCTTTAAATGTTGCCTGACCCCTAAATATCAGCTTTTCAACATCGTCAGTACCAAAGGATCTTACAGGACTTTGCTCAACTAGCTTGGCTCCAAGACTGTGCATTACAGAGAGCCCAGATAGTTCCTTCCCTAATTGTGTCAACATGGAAGCCTTGCCTAGTCAAGGATGTAAAAAGAAGGTGGTCATCCGGTGACTAACACTTACCTCACTGTCTCTTCCTGGGTCAGGCTGCTGCCTTGAGTCTAGCCTATGCTCTCCTCACCCTCCTTCCTCTCTGGATGCATTTTGTTCCTGAATACCAAAGCTTCAGTTCAGCAGTCGTTAGTCAGACATAACCCCCTTAACAGAAGCAGACTTAACATTCTCAAGTGTTTGAAAGTGTTGGCAACAGTCTCAAAGGTTCTCTTGTTAGGGGCCAGCCACCATGCCATTGTGACCAGTTAGCAACACAGTGAAAGGTGCTAGTAAGTAGGTAACTCAGTTGTTTCCATTGAATTTTTAAAGGTGATGGTTTATGTTTAGAAACAAGTAGCTGTCATCGAAACGTACCTGGAGTAACAGTCAGAATCGTTCCTTTCCCAAACGTCAGCTTATTGTTGGCACCAGTAGTCACACAATGACACATGACTCTACAAAAACTCAGTTGTCCAAACTTCTCCTGAAGCTTCAGTGTTTGCTTATTGGTCTAGAAGCCTCCCCAACAAAGCCAGCATTGTTTAATGAGGAGGACTCTCCACAAATCCCCGTTTCCTTGTAGTTATGGTCACTTTTCTGGGAGCATGTTAGCATCCATCCCCTGCTGCTGCCTGCCAAACTCCTTCTTTTCCCTCTCTCCAAAATTATTAGAGAAAAGTAGAAACCCAAAGATTCAGTTGGTTTTCTTTTAGCTCCATGGAAAATCCCACCAATTGCAATGTTAAAAATCACATGTTTAGTAGTCTGAATCCTAGTGCAAAGGTTCAGTATCATTCTCATCATGCCTCACATGTAAATAGCATGTAGGGTCAAAGGCAGTGTCCTGCGTGTGGCAGGAATACACCAGAATTGTTTGGATTGAAATCGGTCAATGGGACTACTATGGTATGGATCAGGGTTACAAGACTGAATATCAAGGTTCTGGAGAGAAACTTGGAGTATTAGAAATTAAAACTTACATAAATTCACTGTCAGTTTTGTCCCCTTCCCAAAGGTGAGCTTCTCAGATCCTCCTTGATTCACACATCCACACACTGCTTTACAAATACTATCTAGACTTCTCTGCCAACTGCCAGGAGCCAGAGTTCCACCAAGTCTCCCAGGGGAGGGACAAAGGCAGAATGGGGGTGCTGTGCAATTATGCAATTACATGGCTATTCCTGAGTGGGACAATGGAAAATATTTGGTCGCTCCTCTACCTAAGAACCCATTCGATTGCTGCCTTATTAATTAGGCAAGTAATCAATCCAGTTGGTTGGCAGGTACAGTTAATTTGAAGGAGCTCAAGGCTCTCGGGTCAGAGACAAGCCTGACACTAAGGACAAGGACTTTAACTTGCTTTACCTCAGTTTCCTTATCTGTGAAGCGGGAGAATGGCAGCAGCTTGTCAATGCTGCTTTAGGGACCAGGGGTTTATGACTGGGTTACAGTAGTCTGTCTGGTCAATCCTGGGCTGTCTGTGAGACACACTTCTGGTTTTTACAACTGCAGAGAGTGAAACGCCAGAGACTTTTCCCCAGACACAATCGCAGTAGTAAACATCCATCTCTGGTATCTGAATGTGGTGAGATAAGTTTCAAGTCCTTCCTTACTCCTTTTGTTTATTCAGTTTTATTCATTTAGCTTTTTTTTGTCTTGGTCTCCCTATGTAGCCCAGGCTAGTCTACAGCTCACAATCTAGACCAAGTTGGTCTTGAGCTTGCAGTGATCCTCCTGCCTCTGCCTTCCATGTGCTGAGCTTACAGGTTTTACCACTACTCCTGGCCTTTGAGTTCTCTTTCCTATTGCATGGACTTGATGAAATTACTTTGCCTCTCAAGCATCCTTAACAACAGAGGTTGTCTTTAAAATGCGGGCTATCGCTTTACTGACTGCAGAGCCCCATAAGGATTAAGTGTGACAATGCAGAATGGACATGGAGCAGGTGGGTAGCAAACCCTCATCGCTATTTTCCTCGACATCAAATGCGTTGTGCATGGCACTTCTTAAAATGGTGACCCAAAAGTTTGGAAACGCATGTGAGATTGTAGAATTATGGACTTGTCTCTTTACCTGAAGACCAGCATGGCACTGAGGGCACAGAGGAGCTGCTGGACAGTTTGATGTGGGGTGGAGTGGTAAGTGAGTCTGTGGGAATTTGGACAAAGCTCTACTCACTTGCAGGTGGATCTCAGATAATTTTTTTTTTCTTAAAAACCTGACCGGACTTGAATCTTGGCAGACATACGACAAGAAGCCGCATGCCCGTTAGTTGATGTAAAAAGGATCTCAAATCACATTCAGAAAGAGAGTTAGGTAGATATTCCCACACTTACCTGGATTCACCGTGAGCTTTGTTCCCTTCCCAAATGTCAACTTAGAGCCACTGACTTGCTGGGCACTGTGCTGAAGGGCTTTGCAAAAACCTGTGGCCTCAACTTAATGAGCACAGCTTTGCAGAGCTTCCCAAGGCCTAGAAGTTTCCTCTGCTGGCCGAGTTCCAGAAGAGGAATAAGGGATACCATTCTTTTAGGTAAACTGGGGGGCCAGAGCTGAGGCAGTGCCCAGAGATACGACTTTTACTTGAATATTCCAGAAGGCTTTGCAAAGCCAAGTCTACATATGTGATCCACGATCCAAAGCCATCACATTGCGCAATCCCAGCGAACATAGGTTCCTCTGGGAGAGAAGTCAGGTGTGCAGTGTTCGGTAGTTGTGGTTGTTATCTGAAGGCAAGGCTAGTGTTTCGCCCAGGGTTTTGCCTTTCCTGCCTCTGCAGGTAGCAGCGGCTCCTTTCCACTGTTACCTAGCTCAATCGTTGTCAGTCATTGTCCCTGTTTCTGCTAGCTTCCCCCCAGCCCCAAGGAGCACAGAGTGATGTTATCTCTTTTTTGGAATCAGAAATTCTACTTTGGCCAAACTTTGTATAAAGGATGTATTGTTTTCCTCCATTGGGTCTGGGCTGCTTAGGGTTACGAGGCATCTTGGCTCTGCCCTGGGCCTTAATATCGGGCTCTACTTTGTGACTTTGAGTGACTTTACTTCCTGTCTTGAGTCTCACTGTCCTTATTTGCAAAGTTAGGAGGTTATTAAGGACTTTGTAAGCTGTGAGGTTTTCGTTTGCTTCTCTGGATTTAATGTATTCAAAAATGCTGTGTCATTTTTACCCCCTGGTTCATCTAACTCGCCTCATCTCCTAAACAAAATCAAACAAAAAAGTAAAAAAAAAAAAAAAAAAAAAAAGGAAAAGTAGGTCTCTACTTAGCATACTGGGAAATGGTGGTTTCCAACCCTACCATCTGCCTTCCTGTTTGATCTTCTTAGAGTTTGAAGTCAGAATTTTGGAACCAAATCCTTAGGGAGAACTATATTTTCTTAATGGAATTCAGATAATTCAAAACCCAGCAAACAAACCAACACCTTTGGTTTAAACACAGTTCTTCTCAAGCTTTATGCCCTCCAGCTGTAAATGTAGTTTTAGCTCCTCCTTTTCTGCAGGAGCTGCTGTCTGCCCTTGAATTCTAGACCCATTGGGAAGGGAGACTGACCTCCCGTTGGATAACGTAATTCACCAGTCCAGTCAGGCTTCCCTTTCCACTACACAAAGACACAGAGTACTGCCTGCTCTCCCTTGGGTACCAGGAGCCCAGTGTCGGAAACACTGTTCTTCAGATGGGTTCTCCCTGTGAACTTCATACACTAGTGGGGGGATAACTCTACCCTGGAAAGCAAGAAAACACACGCTAGAGCCGGTCATCAAGTGACAGGCTGATTACCTTGTGTTGAAGGCTATCATGTTGTACACAGTTTTTCTGAAGCCACGCCACTCAGGGCCACTGTTAAATAGTCCTGGCTTTATGACGAAAACTGTCCATCCACAGCCCTGGCCCACTGACAAAACCTTTGTCTCTCTCTTGGGAAAATGACAGTGTCATCTCATAAATCAGTCTGGATGATCCTTGGGAAAACTGTAGGTGCCTAATAAGCATTTGTTAAGTTGAATATGTATTATGACTATGTATTAAATATCCATATTTTGTTACTATTCCTCAAGGAACACTTCAATCTCTCTCCAACAATTTTCAAGTGGAAAAAAGTAATTCTGTCAGGTATTACTTGCTGAGTTTCATGATTCTTCCAGTCATGGCTCCAAATGCTGGTTTCCTGTTAATTCAGTAATCACAGAAGCAAGCGCCTTTACAGAAACTTGCCATGTCAGCATGGTTCAAGGGCAACGGCTTTTCTCCTTCCTCACCAGAGAGATACCCTCTGTTACTCAGAGATGCCCACCTTCCCTGAGGAGGGGCTGAACTCTTTTCCTCTTTTGGAGTAGACATGGGAAAGAAGAGTCCATTTCAGGATGAAGATGATAAATAGGATTTCAAAAATCTTATCACACCAGGCAGATTTTTTCCTTCCAAATTGATGGTTTTGCCAAAGGCTGTTTTCAGTACTCGTCTTTCTCCCAGATGCAATAATAACTGGATTTCAAGTTGGCATCTGGACATGGGCTTCCAGGCTCCCATGAGTCACACACATTGAATCAAGACATTCTGCTCCCCGCAAGTATAGAAAGATGCTTAACTTTTTCCTCTTGATGGACAATGGGGATTCAAACAGTATACACAGGGTGATATAAACTCTTAAGCCTTGGGTCGGTGCTCTATACAGTGGCATACTGGAATGAGAGACCTGGAAGGTATTTCCCAATGTGTTCACTAGACAGATAAAGACAAATTTGTTCAAGGCCATGCAGGGAGGTTTGAGTCATAGCTAGGACTAGAATTCAGGATATTTTAGTCCCAGTACTGCCTTCTGCCTCTCCCTGCATGTGCCGCAAGACAGCAAGACTTTTCCTGGGCAATCTCTCCCTACAGGAGCTATTGGCTGGCCCAGGGAATTATTCTCCCTCTTAAATAGTGGATATGGCACCATGAAAAAGGACATGGAAAATGAGAGCTAGAACTTCTTCATTTAATTCTAAGGCCACAGGCAATAACAATCGATAGCAAGGGAAATGGCCCGTGGGATACCCAGGGAAGCCAAGGAAAAGACAGAGATAGAAAAATTTGCCCTTTACCAAAAGGATAATCCAACAGAGAGTTGGCTGTGATTAGTGTCTCTGCAGGACTCATTATGGAGAGTGACTGCATGCATGCATGGCAAATACAAAACAGGGTGGTCCTGCCCCCGCTTCTGGCTCCCGTAGTGGGGGCTGTGATTAGAAGAGCGCTCTTTCCCTCCGAGCATAGATGTGGCCAAAGAATGCTTCTTACCAGGGTGCTCCAGGGAGCCACTGCCAATTGTCAGCTCTTGGTGATTGAGATGCAACCTGTTGGCCCTCGCTGGCCAGGAGAACAACCGTGGAGTAGATCCTGCACATCGCCAAGAATTCTGACTATCGGGAGTCAGACACAGTTCCATCATAAAAGGTATTAAAGACCTGGTTGGATGAAGACCGTTCTTCCCACAGGCTGCCCCAGAG